AAATGATGTTAAAGGAAGAGGGGATGAGGAGGGAAAAGGAACAATTCAGCCCATGCATGATTTGGACACAAAACTCCAAATAAACCCACAGTTATTATCTTGCCAATGTATATGGTGAGAGCAGTGGTGGGATTCAGCCAGTTTGCACCAGTTCGGGAGAACCGGTTGTAAAACTTTCTGAGCAGTTTGGTAAATTGGTTGTTAGAAGAAATCATTAGGGCAGAGAACCGGTTGTTAAATTATTTGAATCCCACCACTGGTCTGCAACATATTTCTCATACAGGTAGTTCCCCTAACAGGGACCTGAGGAATTCAAAACAACATAATAGAATGTAGTCCAGTATTCTAAACATTAAATTAGAATATAGTCCAGTTGTCATTATCTCTGAAATGGGCTATTCCTCTTGCTTATTCCAGGAAAGGCTACCTTAGTAGCCCAGTCTTCTGCCTTCATGCTGCCTCTTTCCATCACCTCCTTTCTTCTGTTATTTTGTGTTCTGAATATTGGAAGCTGTGAGAGCTATAATGATCTGAAAAAGCTGGAAACAGAGTTTGCCCTCACTCTTTACCAAAAGCTAGCAGAACGTAACAACAGAACGAATCTTGTCATCTCACCAGCCAGCATTTCTTTTTCTTTGGGACTTCTGCAATTTGGAGCTCGTGAAAAAACCTTTGGACAACTGGAACATGCTTTGGGATACAGCTTTCGTGGTAAGGAATCTTCTGAGACATTTGTATTTAAGGAACACTGCATGTTATTATAGTGTCCATCCGAGAATTGTCATTTTTCTCCACTGTCAAAATCATATTAAAGCAAAACCGAGTACCCTTTGAACCTATGACTATGTTAGTTTTATGACTTTATCTTTTTTGTAACATCTTGTCAGTTCAAAATCAGCCAGTACCATAGTGTCACTTTTTAAATATTCTGCTTTTCTCATGCTAACGATTTTTTTTCACTCTTCGTTAAATCATGAAAAAGATTTTTTTCCCCTGTAGAAACGTGCCCTTTAAAGTTTTGATGGGAATCTTACCCAAGAACTTCCAACAACTGGAGAGGATTGTTGTTGTTGTTTTTAAAAAAAATAATTTTTATTGAACTTATTTAAACATTAAAAAAACAAAACACAAATTTCCACTCATTATAGCGAGTCCGTATCAGTATCATTAATATCATTCATATTTACCTAAGCTCTATTTCGGATTGTTTAAATCTAGTAGACTGCAGAGAGTCACTGGTCTCTTGTGCCCAGAACACTAGCTAGCTGGACATGGAATTATTACATAGGATCACACACAAAAAAAGAGACTTGGCATTTGCATCAATGTACTTTTAAATGCAATTGCTTTACAACTAAGGAAGTTGTGAAATACATAGAATGTCAGGGTAGTTTTAAAGATACATCTCCTTTTGGGTTCACCGACAAAACGGCGCCCAACTAAACCGCGTCGCTGATGTCATCAACAGGGCGACAACAGCGTGGAAAGAAGCACGCTGTAAACCCTAAACCTAAACTTAACCCCTAATCCTAAACCTAATCCTAAACCTAACCCTTAACCTAACCCTAACCCTAAACCTAACCCTTAACCTAACCCTAAC